ATATATATTGTCCTTTTATTCATGTTTATATATTTAGAAGGTGAGTATTAAAAAAATAGCTGAACCTTGAATCATTAGTTAGAAGCAGAACAAAACTAAAAGTAGCAAAATCCTAATGACTAAAAATCTAATTCAAGATGGCCGCCGAAGCTAACTAGCCTCAAGGAACACAAGAATGACCACAACTCAGACAGCTTTACAGATAAATATCTACAATTTGATATTTTAGTAAGAATCATCTTTAACAGTCTGAGCTCAAACATCTCAGTATTTCATGATTTATTTTCTTTTTTAAAAAGATTGTTTTACGAGTCACACATTTATTTAAAAGATTGAGCACTTTAATTTGTGACAAGAGACAAACTAGCAACACATAAGGGGTAAAAAAACCAAAACTTTATTAACTAAACAGAAAGAGAAGCAGAGCTCAAGCTCATGTCAGCGTCCACATTAATCAGTAGAACATCCATTATTGTTACAGATAAATATTAAAACTCTACAGCCACTCAAATATACTGCATAATATAATGTTTAAAGATTTCTGCAACATCAACAGCAGGACAGCAGCCTCAGTCATGCTCATGCTCTTCAACGCAGCGCCACCTGGTGCTGAGTCAGTACAGTTACAGCAGTGGTCTGAACAGCAGACTGAAGGAGGGGGAGGGGTGTGAAACTGACACTTAGTACCGCTAACTAACCTCAAAAACTCCACTAAACACTACGGAACAACCGGCGCCTCCGGACGTGGTTTAAATCAAGTTAAAGGAGTGAAAACTGGAAACGAAGAAGGCCACGGGGGTCTCCGGATCGACCACCGCTCTGTGAGAGGTTACATTCTGTTCTAAAACACGTCCCTGAAAAACGTTGGTTTCAAGTCGTAAAGGTGAAGCTGATTTACAGGAGAGAGAGGGGACGGTTCCACAAGCAGAGCCACGATTTAACCTGGGTTTAACACCGAATTAACCCCGAATTAACATTGTTTTAACCCGGGTTTAACCCTGAAATAACCCAGAATTAACATTGTTTTAACCTGGGTTTAACCCTGAAATAACCCAGAATTAACATTGTTTTAACCCGGGTTTAACCCTGAAATAACCCCGTTTTAACCCCCATTTTAACCCCATATTAAACATGTTTTAACCCTGGTTTAACCTCGTATTAACCCCAAATTAACCTTGTTTTAACCTGGGTTTAACCCTGGTTTAACCCCATTTTAGCCATGTTTTAACCCCGATTTAACCCCGGTTTAACTCTGTTTTAACCCTGGTTTAACCCCAATTTTAACCCCGATTTAACTCTGTTTTAACCCCAATTTTAACCCAGCATTAACCATGTTTTAGCCCAGATTTAGCTATGTTTTAACCCTAGTTTAACCCAGATTTAGCCCCGGTTTTACTTCGTTTTAACCCAGTTTTAAGCAAGATTTAACCTTGATTTAACCCCATTCAAACCGTCTTAACCCAGTTTAACCACGTATTAATCAGGTTTTAACCCAGATTTAACCCCGGTTTAACTCTGTTTTAACCCCATTTTTTTACCCCAATCATCGCAGCTCCTTTCTCAGAAAACGAGTTTGTTTCTCAAACATTCAGAGGAGCTGCTGCTCTTTTTAAACAATCGGAGTCAGAACGACAACATTCTTATAAAGAATCACTGCATTTTGTTTTAAACGGCTGTGAAACGTGAATTTAAACCTGCTTTGTAAGAAAGGAGCTTGGTTCATCGGCTGTTTGGGTGGTGGGGGGGGGGTCCAGTTTAGGCACAATCAGCTAAAATCACGAGGTGTTGGTTGACATCATTCAGTGTCTTACAGTGATGTCAGCGGGTCGCCCCAGCTTCCTGTAGGCACAGAGGCACGGGGGGTGGGGGGGGACAATCTGGTGAAGAGGTGAGACGCTGGTCCCCGCCCCCGCACAGCGTTGCCTAGGCAACCCCCCACTGCAGGATGCTGGTGTCCTTCCCGCCGGTGGAGATCAGGTGAGTGTCGTCGTGCAGGAAGGCCACGTTGGTCACATGGCTGCTGTGACCGCCGTACTCGTGACTCGGAGCCTGAAAAACACCGAAATTAATTCATCCAGAGTCAGAGGCTTTATTTTATTTAAAGTCTAAAATATTTTTATCAGCAGGACTCTAATGACACGTTTCAAACTGTTTCAAGTTAATGTTAGCTTGGTAAAAGTTCCTTTTTAAAAAATAAAGGATCACATTGATCAGATGCTGCTGCTGACTGATCCATGATGTAAATGTAACATTTTCTACATATAGGTCAAATTAATCACTACAATAAAATAACTTTGTCTGTTTTTGTCACTTTTACAGTGGATTGCATCAACTCTGTTACATCCAGAAGGGAAACTTCACCAAAGTGAAACATAAATCTGTGGATCTGTGTTTGATTACTCTGCCTGGCTTTCTCAAGGACCAGGATGTGACACAAACATCTGAATTATGGAACTGAAAGTGAAATTTTTAATAAAACAAAAATACAGTTTCAAAGAAAATTAATTCAGATACAAAACTTTAAATTCAGTTTCAAATTCTGCACATTCAGATTGAATCTGAGCATTTCAATTTTAATTCCTGCTGGAACAAGATTCATCCCATAGCAAACAGCTCTAACTCCGCCCCCTTTTATCTCAGGATGATGTTTGTCTACAGACTTATGTGGAGCATGAGGGAGGCTGAACTAATCCAGCCCAGCCCTGAAGAGCTGGATGTTTTCCCCTCAACAACCAGAACCTGAGCTCTGCAGGAACTCTGTCACAGTGAAGCTGACCCACCCTTGGTTGACAGCAGGGGAAGGAGAACAAGTGCACTTTGCCAAAATCATCAGCCGAGGCCAGCAGGGAGCCGTCATGTGACCTGCACACGGCGTTGATGTCCGTGCCGTCTGCGCCATCTGGCCAAATTCCTGCGAGACGAAGGAACAAGAACGCAGCGGGGCGGTTAGAGGGAGGTAAACATTGATACAAGCTGTAGTTTTGGTTTCAGCCTGAAGGAGGAGCAGCACAGGCTGAACCCACCGAATGTGTTGAAGCTCAGAGTGCAGGTGGAAGTGGCCCACTCCAGACTGCGCACCGTGTCCATGTTGGTGACATGTTTCCCACTTCCTGCCTCCCCTGAAAACAACAAACCCAGTTTGTTTCACTTCTTCATGTCAAAGTCTTGAACACTTTCAGGTAATGAAGCTTAAAATCTAATAATTAATTAATTAATTAAAGACGTACAGAAGAGGATCTCATAATCTCCTGAGTTAGTAACCAGATAACGGCTGTCTGCAGACCAGTCCACGTGGGTCACAAAGCTGGAGTGACCCTAAAGAACACAAACAAGCTTTGATTTTCAAATGTTAAAGCAGCAGCTCTGGTGGCTAAAAGCTAAAAGCTAAAAGCTGCTGAATGATTAATTTCATCCTTCAGGTTTGAGCTCAACTTAAACTCACCACACATTTCCCCGCGCGGCTGTACTTCCTGCCGCTCTCAGTCACGGTGTAGATGTACACAAAGTTATCATGTGAGGCAACGGCCAGGAAGTTCCCATCTACACACACACACACACACACACACACACACACACA